TGATTGAAATTGATTGTACAAAACTGGAAGTTGAAAGTTGGATAAAAATAAGCTTGGCAACAACAAAGTACATCATACTTCATGTACAGGTGTATGATATCAAGTTTATTTTTAATGATGTGATGAAAGTTAATGCCTGTCATTAAAGGAATGACCATTTGATACGGGGTGGGGAGATGACATATTTTAGAAACTTATAATCTTTTCTTGAAAATTAATGTTGAAAAAAAAAATAATCTGACCTCGACTGACAGGAAAATTTAATAAATAATAATAAGTTGATAAGTGCTACTACCCCCACTCCCACCCACAGGCACTTGTTTCGGTAATAAGTTTTTAACTCATAGTATAATAAGTATTTTTATCATACTATATTGGCTTTAAAAATCATTACTGAAACATGTGCATCATTTACAAAGAAATTGATAATGTTGCTGATCCAGGAATTTTCTTTAAGGGAAAGGTCTTTATCCCTTTAAAAAAAAAGAATAAAAAAAAATTGTTTAGGCCAATAATAAAAATGTTTTGTTTGATTCTTGTCAAACAGTCAAAATTATACTTTCAATTGGGGGGGGGGGGGGGTTGCATAGAACTACAAATTGTCTGAATCATATTCAAAGTTAATGGTTTATCATTTCTCTAGACTAAGATACATTTAGATTGAACCTTATAGCATTAGTAGTAAAATTAATATTAAATCTGTCTAGTTGTATTTTATTAATTATGAAAATATAAATTATAAATTTCTGACAAGCACCCCCCTTTTTCTACCAAAAAAAAAAAAAATTCATAAAATTAAACACAAAAAATCTATACCTCAGGAATGGGGGCGAGGTGGGGTTAATCACTTATGAATGAACGGTTTTGATTCATATTTATAAATAATGCATCTTAACGTTTTACAAGGGATCCGTGTTTTTCTCATAAATGACTCTTGCCAATTTATGTGGGGTAAGTGCTTTTACATGGTTTCTGGAAGGGGTGGAGTATGTCCTGGTCATTTGTTACTTATCATATTCATTCTTTTTTCAAAAAATGAAAACTGTAGGAAGGGTTAGATAATTTATTATCAACAATTTCAGAGACTTAAGTTGAGAAATTATGTTTACATTACACACCATAAGGTGTACGATTCCATCAAGCTTACCAACCAACTCCAACTTAGCAACCGACACAAATTCAAGAAAGCACAAAAACAGATTATCCAAAGAGGTCTAGCATTTTTTTAAAACAGATTATTATTGATTAAATTTTGGAAATAGCAGATCTATTACGTAAACCCAGGCATATTTGGGTTCAATTATCACCAATGTCTCTAAAATTTTTTAAGAACAATATTGCAAAGTAAAATGGATTTAGGCTTTTTCTGTCAACTTCTCCGCAGAAAGTCACAGGAAAACACATTTTGTCTGCCACTGGAAAAGCGCACAGTGTTGAATAGGGTTAAATTTTTTTAGAAGGAAATAGTCTGCAAAAACAACACTTGCATGTAGCACAAGGCACTCAATATGATGAGTGTATAGGCTTTCAATATTTTGACTTGGATATTTTTTTTAACAATAAATGACCTTAAAAAACATTCTAATAGCATTTTCACATTATGCATCAAGCTAAAGGTGAGAATGTAATACCAGTTTCAGTAATTTATAAAAATACATTGTATATAAAACAGGATACGACATTCACAAAATCCGAGTATAAATGCTATACTAACAAGCTTATTCAAAGAATCTTTGTGCCCTGCTTAAGAAAAAAAGAAGAGCATGTATGGATCTAGAGGGATTGGGGTCAGAGGGTGGTGAAAATGGGGGGACAGGACACATTAAGAGGGGCGGGCGGGTCCACAAAGAGTTATGATATAAAATTTTATTGCAAAAGCTTAAAACCTTCTTGAGATATCGCTGGGAATGAAAGTTTTACACACAAACAGAATGTATAAATTTTTCACCTTGACCTTTTACCTTTTGACCTCGAAATCAATAGGGGTCTGCCTTAGGCCATATGGAGTTGTGGTATAAAATTTCATTGCAAAAGCTTGAAGGCTTCCTGAGAAATCGTGCGGAAATAAAGTGTTAAAACAGACAGAATTTATGAATTCATGACCTTGACCTTTGAGTTTTAAATCATTGGAGGTCTTTCTTAGGCCACAGGGAGTTTTTATGTAAAATTTCATTGGAAAGGCTTAAAGGCTTCTCGAGACATCGCGCCGAAAGAAAGTGTTATAGAAAGACAGACTGACGGAAGGACGGATGGATGGATAGACAGACAGACCCAAATTAATATCCCCACTTTCAGTGAAAGTGGGGGACAAAAAGGCAAATTTTATATACCATTGTGACCTTGAACTTTGACCTTCTGTCTGTATTTACCAATTCATGTGATGCTAGTTATTGTCCATCAGAATTGTAATTTGTTTCTTCATTAATTATGTTGTATAAAACACAAGTATTAGTTATGACACAAAAAAAAATGTGCTTAGTTTCCATAAATTTCCATCTTAATCGAGCCAATTTGACCTTGACCTTTGACCTTTTGTCATGAAAATTGATTTTTCTCTTTGTTTTTGCTATTGTGTACCACATATCTAAATTTGGTTTTAATCCATTATAAAATACTCAGGTATTTATATGGAAACTGATGGTAGATACCCGTTGTCCTTGTCTGGAATTTTTAAAAAAGCATAAGTTTGTAACCATGGTAACATGAAAACAAAGTATGAATACCAAATGCGTCTTTGCAGTTTCTATTAGAACTATATATGGACTTTCAGACCAATGTATTTATTTTTTCCCAAATGTCCGCAAAATTTTAAACCAGGCTTTTCAAAAGAGCCTAAAATCTACAATTTTTCCCCAGAAAAATCCCTCTTAAAAACGGGGGATATTTTTTGTATGAGGTAAAGTTTCTCAAATGCTGGAAATAATCTAAAGAACTAAAAAAAATGATGTATTTTGGCAAAAAGATAAAGTCATGTAAATATCTTGTTCTATTAAAGACTTTTAATCAGTCAAAAAGAATCATTTTTCATCAAAATTTAGCGTTTTTTAGCCATGAAAAATGTATGCTTGTTGCCATGGTAACCATTGGCCATAGCAACCATTTTATAATGAATTTTAGTTTCATACATCAATATAGGAATGTGTTCCAAGTTTCATAAAAATCCAAGACCTAGCGTGCCACACTCCCAATATAAGATCTAGAGTTTACATGCTTACAGAGAATGGCTATTAATATATTGAAAAAATCTTTACCCCAGGAACTAGTCATATTTATATTAATATATATTGTATAAAAAGCATCCTCAAATAATACTTCCGGGAATAGACTGAGACTAAAATGAGCGATCAAGTTTTACATGTGAATATATAGGAAAAAGAATCTGCTGATAAACAAGAGGGGCATCAGTTATTCATGTGAGCGCTGTGACCCATGGGGCTCTTGTTTGTTTTTTTTAAACTGCGAATTTCAGCGATTTTTAATTTTTATTATAGTCAATATATAAAGACAAAGTAAACTAACAATACAAAAATACACCATCCTAAAACCAAGCACCTATGATACAAACGTCACATTTAAATAAAATCCCAATTTACCAACACCCGGAACACGTGCTCCTGTAATATCAGAGTCAAATAAACGTTTAATTTCCGAGATACACAGGAAACTACTACAAATAATATTTCATTATTTGAGGCATTTGTTAATGTATATTTGTGTTAAATGTGTAGACTATTCTATTCCTTTATAAGTAATGGGGATTTCTACTTATGGTTATACTTTGTCATGGACCTACACTGAGTTATTGAACTGAACCACCTCACCTGTGATAAGATTTCCCTGTTCCTGTTTGTTTTGATCAAATGTCTTAAAATAGAATTTGACGAAACGCTGCCAAGTTGGCACGTATATAAGCGTGTTATTGCATTAATTAAGAGGAATCTAACTGTTTTAATTGTATTCTACAGCATAAATGTACATGTATGCATATGGGTAAGTTAAACAATCCATCTTCTTCAAATTACGATTTAATTTATTTAACCTGTTAAGTAAACATTCTCAGAGATAAAATTTTGAAGAAAATGTGTATTTATTATAATTGTGCTAACTTTGTTGTTGTGTAAATGATGAAATCAAGTGGGTTTTTCCCCTTGTAGTTTTTAGCTCGCCAGTTACAAAGACTCACGAGTCCCTTGAGCTGGTAGCTGCAGATCGTACTGTAACTCTTCTAAAAATATTGTCGTCTAATCCATTTTTACTTCCCGACAAGCGGGCTACGGATGTGCAGCTAGTGAAGGTGTCGCCTCTCATTCTTCTATTACGTGTTCTTTAATTGTTATAACACTGGCGGATCCAGGGGGGGGGGGTCGGGGGTTGGACCCCCTTTAATTTTTTGCGAAGTGGAGAGAGGGAGGGGGAGGATAAAATATGTTTTTTGGAATATACATTTTTACGTCTAAAATAAGTACCTTTGAACATAAACGAAGTTCAAAACAGCTCAATCGACAGAAATCCCTGCTCATATTCCACTAGCTATTGATAGTCTCGCATATTTCGTTTTTTCCTCCATTTACCTTCACTATCCCCCTTTCAGCGTTTTTATTTATGAGTGAATGGTAAAGAGTGGAAGGACAAAAAGTTTTCTGAGATACATGTAAAGGCCAGGTTAAAGTTTTAAAGCAGATCCATTCCCAAGGAACTATAAGACCTACCAGGACCGCTTGCATGGATGATGCATCAAGGGAAGGACACTAATAGACTTGCTTTAGATGCTGGGTATGACCTATATTTTCCAGATGAGTGACCAAATTGAAGTTTTTGGAGCAGGTCCATTCCCAGGTAACTATAAGCCCTGCCTGGACCAGAGTTGCATTTTTGGATGCATCTGTGGATGGACACTACCACACTTGCATCGGATGCTGGGATTGACCTATATTTTCCAGATGCCTGGCCAGGTTAAAGTTTTTGGAGCAGGTCCATTCCCAAGTGACTACAAGCCCTACCTGAACCAATCTTGCTTGGTTCATGCATCTAAGGATGGCCACTAAACAATCTGCTTCGGATGCTGGATCTGACCTAGTATATCTTCCAGATAAGTGACCAGGTTGAAGTTTTGGAGCAGGTCCATTCCCAAGGAACTATAAGACCTACCTGGATAAAACTAGCATGGATGATGCATCAAGGGATGGACACTACCAGACTTTCTTGGGGTGCTGGAACTGACTTATGTTTTCCTAATTGACTAGCTCTATAACTATTTGGCCTGTTATGATGAGACTTGCAAGAATGATACAACAAGGGATGGACATTATCAGACTTGCATCGGATGTTGGAACTAACCGACATTTTATGGATGATTGAACAGGTAAAAGTTTTTGGTGCAGGTCCATTCCCAAGTAACTATATGTCCTACTTAATCAAACTTGCACTGAAATTAATCTCAGGATGCACACAAACTTGAAAAAAAAATAGTGTTATGTTCGCCTTACTTATGGATAACATTCGCCGAGTTGAGATTCGTAATCCACACTTATTCACACTTTCTAAGTCTTGGAATATAATTTTCTCTGATTCTGTCCAAATTCGATCTAAAGATGTTTACTGTAAATAGTTTGAGTCCAAGTGTGGACTGAAGTAGGTGTTTGCTAATGACAAAAAATATGATGACGCTCGAGTATGCCCTCATCTCCTATAGGAATCGAGTAAACAATAAGAAATTGAAATATATAGACTGAATAACATATATATGCTTTCCAATTTAAGGGATTAACAGATCAATTTAGACAATAAATTGGCCACAATCAGTTTCGACGAACTAACGAAAAAGTAGTCACCGGAAGTAAGAGGTAGAGTCTAAAAAAAAACCCGCTGAAAATAGAGTCCGCGCATGCGCTCAAACAGAGAAAATGCTCATTTTCTGCAAAAACCATAGGTTTACAAAACTGCTCGAACGTCATAGTGTTAATTAGAAAATCTGGCAAACATTTCAGTGCTCCGAAATGCTACTTAAAAGTCATCAAAAGATAATGTCTTAGTCAGATTTTACAAAATATTTTTTAAAAAAGAGGTTATTTACTTTCAAAGTTGACGTTTCACGACAATCCATTGATTGTTGTTGCCCACTCGGCACACCTCGGCCGATTCGTACCTCATCTAACCTTGTTTGATGAAGGTGACGGAATCAGCCGAGGTTTGCCGATTGCGGATATGCCATGTTCTCCATTTGCCGCAATGCACGATTGACTCGGTTTTTGTCGTTCACTCCGTTTTGGGAGTTTGTCTAGACTGACAATAGGGGAAATATCTAGGTTCTATCATCAGTGCGATTTCATAATTTTTTTTTTTATTTTATTTTACAAACTTGCGTTACTTATTTTTTTTTTTAATTTTCAAGAGACATGACGCTTGCCCGAGTACATGAAACGCGCATCTAGTAAAGCAGCCAATCAGAATCCTTCTGCTTGTAAGCAGCCAATCAGGTTCTTCCTAGGTGTTTCGTAACATGTTACAAGAACAACTGCGAGGAAGGGTTTTTTAAGAGAAGTGTAAATGTATAGACTTCCGGAGGATGAACAAATATCGTCATGTAAAATATATAATAGAGTCGGAATGAAAATTTAACGACGGGATCATTTGAGCGGATTCCGTGTGTGCATTTATCAGAAAAAAAACAGTATGCAATAACGACCATTATCTACCCTAAAAATAAATTAAACTTCAAATCAATAAATATTCATAGCAGCCTTGACATCACACGTTTGGAAGACCCCCCCCCTCCCCCAATAGGATTTTCAGGTTTGGGGGATATTTATTTAGTTTATTTATGGTCAAAAAAAAAAAAAAATCCTGGATCCGCCCCTGCAATATTTAATTCTTGGAACCAATTAAGCCTTCAAGGGGTTATGAAATTCCACTAACAAGAAGTTTTACTTTATCTTACAGGAAATAAAATGACCAGTAGAAAGGATAAAACGACAGCTATAGTGATCGGGGCTGGCCAGAGGGGATTTGGTTACGCCCACTTTCAACAGTGCAAACCTAAGGAATTCCAGGTAAACAGACTCGATATGTGATTATAATTTGTTTGTGATAAATAAGTTCATGTGATGATCATGAATAAAAACTTCAATTTCTAATTCGAATAAAATTATTAAAATAGAAAAAAAATATCACTGAAACAAAACTCTATTAAATTTGATAGAGCTAATGAATTAACATTTTGCTTCGGAGTTCGAAGACCGGGGATTCATCGGTCTCTGTTTTTGAAATGACCTTTAAGAAGACTTCATAATATTATGACTGTGCAAAATATACATTTTGCACGGTCATAATGACCGTGCAAAATGTATATTTTGCACATTCGTAAATATTTTCTATTTTCGGCTTGTTTATGAGTTAACAATTTTACATGCGCAATCTTATGAAATTCTTCTTGATAGAACGTAAATTAATGTTTATTAAAAGTCTTAACTGTAACAATGAAATAGTAAATCAAAGATATTAAATATTGCTTAAGGGTAAATAATTATAAGATAGTGAGGACAGATGGACAATGCATTTCAAGATCAAAAGAGTGTTTGACACTGAGTTAAAACGTTTAGGTAACAATTAGCGGATTAACGCAGGTGAAATAATGGGCGTTAACCTTTAGCGATGGTCAGTCTTAAGTAATATAGATTGACAGTCATTGGATAGATGTAACTGATTAATTTATATTTGGACATGTCAATCAAAGTAAAGTCGATGTTTTATAAAATGTGATTTAGTAAAGGTATAGAATTAGAGTAAGAAACAGAGCTAGAGTAGAGATACACATAGGTTAAGAAGTGTCCGTAAAAGCCGTAACGTTTACCTCATTGTCATAAGGTCTGTCTGTCCGTTTATTTAAGTAATATGGCGAGTTTCCCCACATATATATTGTACGAAGTGAAGAGTAACTGATTCCCCAGATTGTTATTATATATGTTATTAACTTCAAAAAATGTGGAAAATATTGCGAGTGTTGAGCTAATTCCCTAGTAACTGCTAAGGTGGAGAGACACCACAAAACGCGCGGTTATAATATGCACAAAAGTAGCTCATTCTATGACTGGAAGGCATGAAATTTACAATCGGCTTAAAAATAATAAGTTTATGATTCAAGTGTACTTCCTAACACAGATCCAAGATCAGCTGGAGAGGGTCCATGTCACAATTGTTTTTGGTGTATTTGGTACAAATTGTTATCATCATATGATGTGTCATGACCCTGAACCAAAGTTTTGGACAGGGTCAAGGTTACATTCGTTTCCATTACAACTTAGCTTCATTTCATGTAGTCTTTTTTCCAGCATGAATAAACAAACTTACTAGTGCAGATTCTATCACGGATTCTAAATATCCATGCAGAGTCAGATATTCTTAAAGAGATGATATGAACAGTTACATATGACTTAAACAAAAGAATGCTTTCTTTGGTTATTAGTACGGGAATTAATGTCGCAGCTGTTGCAGAAACAATACATAACCCGCGTGAGCGGGTTATGTGTATTATTTTCTGCAATAGCTGCGACGTTAATTCCCGTACTAACAAACAAAGAAAGACATTTTATTGTTTATATTATCTTTATAAAAAAAACATTCAAAGAAAATTAAATATGTTAAATATTGTATTATAGATTTGTATGTCATTGTATGCTTAATTGATGGAACAGCCGTAGCTTAAGAAATCTATGCAGGTGGCTTGCTTAGTGTTGTTTACTGATTGATTAACGGCAATGGTTTTCATAAGAAATAAAGGTAATAATATTTAGTGGATGTAAATGTATTTGTTTTATTCAGGTAATTGCTGTTGCTGACCCAAAAGAATACCAGAGAAAGAGACTACAGAATTTATGTGACATCCCAGATGACATGGTGTTTAAAGGTATCAGATCATAAAAATAGTAGCAATCAGTTAACTTAAAGGCACCCGGTGTATAGTTTGAATAAATTATACGTTGATGTGATTAATTGCTAGTAAAATGAATGAAAGAAAGTAGATGATTTCAATATCAATAAAATGAAACCGTGAAGAAAGGTAATCAGTGTCAAATTCATTGGGCAAACAAAAGTGTGAAGTACTGTATGATTTGCTTATATAAGTGTAGTTGTATCATTGAGGACTGTGAAGAATTTAAAGTCATGCAGGAATCAAGTGTGATGTCATAATCTGTGTAATAGGTGTACTGAAGTGAGGCTTTGTTTAGTGTATTTGTGTAATAAGTGTAATGAAGTGAGGTTGTATGTATTTGTATAAATAAGTGTAATGAAGTGAGGTTGTATGTATTTGTATAAATAAGTGTAATGAAGTGAGGTTATATGTATTTGTGTAATAAGTGAAATGAAGTGAGCCTATGTTATATGTATCTGTATAATAAGTGTAATGAAGTGAGGCTATGTTATATGTATCTGTATAATAATTGTAATGAAGTGAGGCTATGTTATATGTATCTGTATAATAAGTGTAATGAAGTGAGGCTATGTTATGTGTATGCGTAATAAGTGTAATGAAGTGAGACTATGATATATGTATCTGTATAATAAGTGTAATGAAGTGAGGCTATGTTATGTGTATGTGTAATAAGTGTAATGAAGTGAGGCTATGTTATATGTATCTGTATAATAAGTGTAATGAAGTGAGGCTATGTTATGTGTATGTGTAATAAGTGTAATGAAATGAGGTTATGTTATATGTATCGGTGTAATAAGTGTAATGAAGTGAGGCTATGTTATATGTATCTGTATAATAAGTGTACTGAAGCGAGGCTATGTTATGTGTATGTGTAATAAGTGTAATGAAGTGAGGCTATGTTATATGTATCTGTATAATAAGTGTAATGAAGTGAGGCTATGTTATGTGTATGCGTAATAAGTGTAATGAAGTGATGTTATGTTATATGTATCGGTGTAATAAGTGTAATGAAATGAGGTTATGTTATATGTATCTGTTTAGGCTGTTGCACTATAATGTGTAGTAAAGTGTGAGTGAAAAACCATACTCACTCTCATGAAATAAATGAAACTCAATATTGCTACTTTTTGTTTATATGAAGGTTGTGCACCTTTAAAATTTTTTTTTTCAGTAACTTTAGATGATATACCTACAGTAAATTCGTGATTTAGGAAAATAACCATTTAACCCTTGTTTAATACACTGAGCATAACATTTTGAATGACACGGTGTAAAATTGACTCTTCCTTTAGACTGGCGGGAGATTGCAGAGAGGGATAAGTTTGCAGACTGTGTGATGATTTGTACTCAGGATAAGCAGCACAAGGTAAACATCAACTTCTTGAACAATTTAAATAACAATTATAGGTAAATTGGGTACTTCGTAATATTTTGTAATTGAAATTCGTTTCATTGTGCCTTATTCATATTTCAATTGACTGAAAAATTCCTTTCTAGGATCCTGCTCTTGCCTTTGCAAGGAAAGGATACCACATTTTACTGGAAAAACCCATGGCAGTAAGTCATACAGATTAAGGTGATTTTTATAGTATTTGATGTAGTCATGTGGTAAAAAATGGATAAACTTCTTGCTGAAAATTAAAAATAAAACCTGAAAGAAAACTGTAGATAGTTATGGATATCTGAATATATGTGATAGTATACATAAATCTAAAGAATAAATGTGTCATAATTTGTGGATATCATAAGGATAAATGTTTTTAAATCCAGACGACAGAAGAAGACTGTAGGGAGATTGTCCGTGTTTGCAACGAAAACAATGTCTTTTTAACGGTGTGTCATGTCCTCCGATACACACCATGGGTGAAAAAAATCAAAGAACTGATAGACAGTGGAGTCATAGGGGAAGTGGTTAATATTCAACATCTGGAACCAGTATGTATGACTTCAGTTTTAGTTGAAGTGAGATAACAGACTATTTTAAAATCAATATTTTTTTTTAACATAAATCAGTAGTTTTATGCACTTCGAATTGAACTCGCTCTTTCTTGAGTGATAATTAGGCTGGGTGGTGAAGGAATTATACAACAGAAAAAGGAAACATGATTTTTCTAGCCATTAACTGTTATATTTAATGCAATTTCTTTCCCCTTTTTCACAGAGATCATGAACACCCAGCCCTTTAAATTGCTTGCTTAGATAATATATTCTTCATCTTAATGTATGAAAGTCTATGAGGTGTGCAGCGCACATACGTGGGAAGGATAGCAGCTCACAGATCGTAAGAACAGTGGAAATCTGTATATATATATATTTTTTTTGAAATCTTCCCAGAGTTTTCTTTCTACCAGGATTCCATGCGAATATGGCGAGTATGAAAGGCCCACAGAATCGTGTAGTTCTTGCAGAGAGCTTAAAATAAACAGAAAATAATTGCATTTACAAAATTATTAATCTCGCCTTTTACCATTATGTAATCTTGAGAATCTTTAAAGCACCTTTATTTTCTTTTAATAATTTGTTTGTTTCTATTTAGATTCAAATTTAAAACGTTTTTCCTCTATTGTTTGAATTAATCTTGACGCTAACTATCGATGCAACAAATCTGACGACATTTCTTATGCTGTAAAGGAAAGTGGTTTCCGTAAACTAATAAATGATTTCTAATATGGAAATGTAAAGGCAATACGTTGGCCATATTGCCAGATATTAATTCTCATCTGTCTGACATACAAATATATTGATTGATTGTATGTTGTTTTAAGTCCCATTCGAGAATTTTTCACTCATATAGAGACGTCACCGTATACCAGTGAAGGGCTTCAAATTTTGACCTTTATTCGGCACTCAGAGCCATTGAGCAGTGAGGGATCTTTATCGTGCCAATGCCTGTCGTGACACGGGGCCTCGGTTTTTAAGATCTCATCCGAAGGACCCGCAACTTTCACTTTAAAGTGCCGAGCGCATGGCGAAGGAACAGTTGCTACCCAGTTTTTATAGACTTAGGTCTGTTGCGGCCGAGATTCGAACTCACGACCTCCCGATCACGCAGCGAGCGCTCTACCGACTGAGCTACCGTGAACGGTAACATACAAATATAACCGACAGAAACGTGTCTCGTTTAATCCAATGAAAGTGCGACATTTTAATCCAAGGGAAAATAAACACATTACTTTGTAACATTTTATGGACATATTTTGTCAGAGGTCCACATTCTCAATTTCAGGTTGGTTATTGGCATTTTGCCCATTCTTTTGTCAGAGGCAACTGGCACAAAGAATCAGAAAGTTCATTTTCCCTCCTGGCAAAGTGTTGTCATGACCTTGATCTAATATGTCACTGGATGGGTCCGAGGAAGTGTCATTCTGTCGCCTCATTTGGTCATCTAAGTCATTTCTCTCAGAAAAACAAAGTAAGTTTACACTGTGGTCTGTTTCATCGTTACAGGTAGGGTACTGGCATTTTGCCCATTCGTATGTGAGAGGAAACTGGCATAAAGAGAATGAGAGCTCATCATCTCTATTGGCAAAGTGTTGTCATGACATTGACCTTTTGTGTCATTGGATGGGAGATAAGAAATGTCAGAGTGTGTCCTCGTTTGGACATCTGAGTCATTTTAACAAGCAGAATAAAGTAAGTTCTTGAATTGACAAGAAAGATTTGTAAAATTTACGCAATGGAATCTTGTTTTGAAGTTGTTTCCAGCAACTTTTAAAAATTTAAAGTTAAGACTATTTAAAACATTTTGAAACTTGGTAATTGATGAGTATAAAATCCCATTTTCCATACCAGTTTAAACTGATTCAGATTAGAGAATGAGTGAAGACTAATATTTCCGAAACGACATAAAGTTTTGCAATTGCAAGTTCCACATTAATATTTAAAAGGCTTACAATTACTATCATGAATGTTGCAGCCAAAGAATGCAGGTAGTCGGTGTCTAGACTGTCCTAAGGATGTGCAAAGACAGTGTCCCTACTCAGCAGTCAAAATTTACATTGAAGACGGTATAAAATCTGTAAGTCAGTGCTTCGCAATCATTTATTAATGGATACTTTTCATTGTTTTCATGATTAAAAAGCTTGATCATCTTTTACTTTATTCATATTGAGTAATTGATCGTAATCTTTAGTTGAACAGAGGTTGGCCTGTATCCGTGCTGACTTCTGAACCCCCTGATATAGAAAACGTGACGGAAGCCTTAAGGACTGGACCATATGGACGTTGTGTATATGACATGGATAATGACGTCATGTCACAGCAGGTAGTACACAGCTTGATCTACGTTTTATTTACCCCTCCCCCCCCCCCCTCCTTCGTTTTAAGAACTCATGATACAAACCAAAGAAATGGAAGTATGGATCTGTATACATGTATATATTTTTGGGTGATTTTGGTCATAAATGATGTAAATATAAACTTTTTGGAAAATTCACTTCAATTCATGAATAATTAAACTTTTGTAGTAATACATTCATCAGACATAATTGGACATAATGATTTCTGATTTAAAATTGCTTTTATTTATATTTGTTGTTTATTATACTTGGTAATACATTTGATACTTGTGGAACTAAATAAATAGGTTAGACAGCTGTCAAAATGAACAACAACTAGATTACAAAGTGAAAACAGAATATTTTATGTCCATTTTGTTTTAGGTGGTTAATATGCAGTTTTCTGGTGGAGCCACTGCTTCAATGTCTATGATTGGATTTACAGAATCTGTTTGTTGTAGAGAAGTCAATGTGTTTGGAACAAAAGTAAGAAAATTCTTTCTTTTTATGGATTTTGTTGTCTTCCAAACTGAATGCATAACTAGTCCAACCTTTTATATTCCATTATTGGTGTTAATTGCTTTGTAGGGCGAGATACGATACCGAGATGGACAACCACAGATTTTACAAGTTGATTTTGTTACTGGACAAAGATGTAAGTAAGCCAGAAAACATTACGCATCATTAAATTAATACTGAACTTTAAAGGGACATAGACACAGATTTGAAGTAAATATTTTCTCAAATTTTCTGTATAATATCATGACTTATATGTTGCTATATATAGTATTTCACACGGAAATATAATTAAAAAAAAACATATTTTATCTGGAAATTATTGAAACTACGAATTCCGGGACGCGTTTGATTGACACATCCTTGCACTTTCACAAAGTAAACTTTATCCTTAAAACTTAAGAAAAGTAGAAATTTAGTTGTGTATTAATGAAAAAATAAAGGTATAATCCAGAAAATTTCGAGTAGAAATGTGAGAAAGCAAGACCAACTCACTAGTATTGTTAGTCCATGGTCAATGATTTGTGCAGAGTTTAACAAATTCTTAAGTATAAAGGACAAATTAAAGTTTACTTTGTAAAAGTGCAAGGATGTGTCAATCAAACGCGTCCCGAAATTCGAAGTTTCAATAATTTTCAGATAAAATAAGTTTTTTTTAATTATATTTCTGTGTGAAATGATATTTAGCAACATATAAGTCATGATATTATACAGAAAATTTGAGAAAATATTAACTTCAAATCTGTGTCTTGTCCCTTAAAGTGATTTCTTCCCTTGGTTCGTAATGCTTTTTGACTGTTTACATTTTCACATAAAACTTCATATCCAGCAAGAAGATAGCACAAGTAATGTTACTATTGTGAAGCAGTTTGTCAATCATTTAACATTTAGGTTTAAACTTTCTTTATCTAAAAAATAGTGTTCAGTTAGATTTTCATCAATTGTAAATATAACATTTCGAAATTAGATAATCACTGTTATCTTGCCAACAGACCACCATCAGCTGGAGTCTAAACATTCTGGACCATTAGGAGGACATGGGGGAGCAGATTACTGTTTAATGGAACACTTTGAGCATGCAATTCATGTAAGTAAATATAACCGATGAAATATGTAATCTAATCTCACATATGTATTTTTTTTGTTTTAAAATTAGGATCTTCACAAGGTAAATAAACAGTATAACTGGGCTATAACAAAGTCTTTGGGACCCGCTGATTTACTTTTTTAAGTATCCATGATTCATTATATCCATATTAGAAATTCATAAAAGAATATATAACAAATTCACAATATACATGTTTTTCCTTCTTATGACTTACGAAAAATTATGTCTTTTAATATCTTTAAATTTTGAGCCATCAAAATATTCGTTATAAAAGATGAAAATTCGTCATATTTAACCTCTACGGAACAAAACTCGCTATATCCCTTAATTCATATTAATTGTTATATCAGACTTTGTTTTAATCGTAAAATTTTAGAAGGAATTGCAAAGAATGTTGCCGGGGAACACAAAAAAAACCTCTCCAAATTCACTAAGATGTGAAAAAAATTTCCAAGTAAAAAGTGTAAAAGTTGGCAAACAAAGACTTTTTTCCATGATAAAGAGATATTTATAATATCACATGTTACTTGGATATTTTTCCCATATATTACATTTATCATCATATAGCATGAAGATTTTTCTGGAATTAAAACGGGTGCAGAAGAGACTCTGGCTAGCCATTTAGTTGTATTTGCGGCAGAGAAAGCACGGAAGGAAAACAGAGTTGTTACTATCAATGAAGACATGTCTTTTTCATGATTTCTAACAGAGACAAGCACAGTACTATTCAGATGATAAAATTCTATTAATAATAAAGCAGTATTTAATACACTTTTGTGATTTTTTAATTTATATTATGCCTTGATAGAAAAAAAAATTATGTGATGCATATGCATAGATTTTCCGATGGAATAAAAACATGGAAATTAACTAGATAAATTGTTTTTCGGACAGTCAGCTCTAACCACTCCTTAAAAGCAACAACAGACAAACAACACAGGACTGGAAAGCAAATGGTCACATATATACGGGTTGACATCAAAGAATGATTTACCCAGACGGTTCAACATACAATCTTCATATTTTTCTCAATATATTATATATCTGATTATTCTACATGAGGCAGAAGTGGATATGCCCTATTACTTTATCAGTCGTTCCTGTTTGTAGAATATAATACCAATAACATGCAAAATACAAAAAAAGAAGAAAAAAAATCATTCAAATGGAAGGTTTCGACTCAGGATTGTTTAGTGGCTTAGAATTTTTCTACATGTAAGTATTAGTCAGAATATCTACAAAAAATCGTCAAACTTCGCATCAATTTTTCGTAACAGCTCATTTGCATATTTGTAGAAAATTACAATGAATTAAATGGAAAATCTCTACAAACTGATTGATTCAAAAATGACTTAATGCCATCAGTTTATCTTCAATTTCTGTTTTATTTTGTCTTACTACCCACCAAATTTCATCAAGATAGGTAACCTTCGATTTGGGCAGTATTGCATGGTTTTCTGATAGACTGGCTCTTGAAAATACCACCGATACAAATGCCCATTTGAGCCCTGATTTGGTTATAAATGCTATTCTATTCTATAAAGATGAACGACTAAAAGAACATATGACTTATGCCAAAAAATAGTCTACTGATGACACCTAAAAAATATACATAAAACTTGTATTCCACGTGTTCATCTCTTGTATCCGTAAGAAAAAAGATTTTCCCAAATAGTTTAATACTTTTTGGAGTTCTTGAACAATTTTTTTTCTTGTCAATGAAGTCATCATTAGATATTTTATGAGTGTATTCAAAATTTTATTTTTCAGTCAAAATCCAGTTTTACATTGTAATTTTTCTGAAACTCCATTATATATGTCGAAAAATCTTCGTCAGAGCAAGAATCCAGATTTAATTCAGCAAATTCCTCAATAGTGAGTGCACCCTTGACAACTTCCTCTTTACAGAGGTACCTATTAATTAAGTAATATATTGTTCTTTTCATGTATTCAAATGTGTCAGTAACAGAGATCCAATCATCCATTTCAGGGATGTTTTCTTCCGATAGTGTCCATTTAACAAACTGAACGACGCTATACCAGAACTTTATCCACAATAAGGCAAACTTGTGATATCGATCGAGATAATAAGTAAGTTCTGGCCATCCCCACTCAAAACATGGGAATTCTAAGACGTGTCCCCAGATGTTCATGTCTCTTGCAAAAAAGCAAGACATTTGTACTTTTGTAAAAGCACGATGACATATAATCTAAAACACTGTTTATACAGGCAACGTCCACTCGGGAATGTTTGCATTTAGTTTCTCCATAAACATGGAATAGGAAAGCTGTTTTCAAAACATACGAGGATAAATTCATACACTTTCCGGGCAAATTTATTTCTTCAATTAGAAGTGCTTTTAATATTTTGTAACAGAACTTATGGTGTTCGTCCATGTTTTTCATTAGCTCAAGCTCCATTCGTGCGAAGGAGATAAACCAGCAAGAGGGGTGAGGGGAGTGATCAATGTGACATAATTTTGTAATGATGTGGCATCCATGCTTCAAGAGCAGATCTTGAAACTCAGATGGAAAGCCCGGCAGATTGCTAACAGCTTTTGGGTCCGGATGTTCCATCGCCATCATCAAATCAACACCAATATGTGTTCTTTCAACTTTAACTAGAGCTTCGCTATATTTATCATATTTCATCTCTGACACACCACATCTTCTAACATATACAAGAGTGAGTTTTTCTTTCTCATTTTTTGTTGGCATTAAGGTCCCTTCAGATATTTCTACATGGAAAGAGTTGGACTCCGTAACGTTAGAAATAGTACCCCAGAAACTAGAAATTAAATCTTTTGGATTTCTGAAGTAATTTTCATACCTATTTTCTGATTGATTATGAACGTTAATACTGCTACAATAGCACGTGTAAGGTTGAAGGACTTCCTTTTGGTCTGTTCGTAGTTGGAGTTTAGTGTACCAGTCAGAGCATCCCTTTTGAATATTAATTTTATCAGATGTTGAAAAAATCTTCAAAATTACCATAAAGTCAAATTCATCTAGATTTCCAATTTTCGTTCCTTCATAGAAACTTCCGGACGAAACAATGTCAGATATTTTAAAGACTGGATTTTCTTCACCAACTTTCTGTACTAAATGTACAAGTAATTGTCTGATACCTGGCTCTATTGTCAGTTTATCAACTTCGTTCATCGGTATGACGCAGCGCCGTCTGTAAACGTATCGGAGAAATGCGTGCTGTCTGCTGTCTTGGGATTCTACAAAAGAGAACAATTTTTTTCAGTCACTTAAGTATCAAGAAGAAATTTTATTTAATTTTTTCAACACATGCCTGGTCTTTAGTCTACTGTGATGTATTTAGTGTAGAAAAGTCATATCAATTGATGTTATTATTGATTTTGGAAAAATCTTATGGTTTAAAGTTTTCTAAGTTCTTTTTGATTTTTGAAAAATCACATCTGATTAATCCACAGTACGTCTAAATTTTGAGGGGTAAAGACAGAGGTTGGTAGAACATTTACTGAACCCTACAATATATCTTTCTTTGTAAGAATTTTCTTTTGAAGTGTTTGAATCTAGTATAATACAGTAAATCAATTTCACTTTCATTGACTAGAATTTTGAAAGTATTTTAGACTGAAAGGTGATTCTGAAGAGTTTCATTTTTTGAAAAGGAAGTGAGATCGTAAGTTGGATTACCAAATGTGAAATTTAAGCCAAGTTCTTCAAGACTGCAGTTGTAATAAAGAGCCTTACCAAAAAGGCTATATTGTTAGACGCTTTATCAGCTGAAACTATAACATATTGTTCATTAATCTTTCTAATTCTTTCACTAAAATCGGAGGTCATATTCCTATACGGAATTCATAAAGAAAATGAGTCATGTCGCCATTTAAAAGATCGACGTTCCCCGAATTTAGGAACTTTAGGTCGTCATTTTCAATCAGTGGGTTTTTTTTTCAGTACTTTGGGACTGGGGGCTGGGGCCCTCAGAATTGGGAATTTCAGCGTCAATTAGGCTAAATTGGGAATCTCCCAGAAAACCCAGTCACTTAAAAAGCATTGTCAAAAAGCTTTGTTTTTGTCTTTGTATTACTTTAACAAACAATTGTTATAACAAATCAAGACTATTCTAGGTATGAATTATCTAATTACTTGCATCAAGAACAATAGTGGTATGAACTATCTAATCATGAAGATATCCATCATGGCTGAACAACAAAACCTGCTTGAACTCCACTGAAAAACATGCAATAAACAAACTGAATTTGATCACATATTTTGTAAGTTTTTCTTTGGGAAAACTTCCACTACATTTTGGGAAAATACAGGCATATTTTCAATTGGGACTGGGGCCTAATTTCGGCCCCAAATCGGCCCTAAAAAAATCACTGTCAATAATATTCACATCACCAGCAATGATGTATCCAGCAGGACTATAAATGAAAGAAGAGGAGGAAGAAAACTTGGGACGATTTTGTTTCTAGGCACTGTGGAATTTATTTATAATTGAAATGTGCTGTACATAAATTTCATCTTTATTAATGATAACATCGACTACAGTCTTACATACATATATGTACCTAACGTCATCGTATTTCCAGACATATTTTGTATTAACCAACCGTGACTCGCACTGTCATACAATATATGAAAGAGCTATTAAAATGTCACTTGTATGAATTACTTACCCGCTGTAACTTTTTCCATGTTTTTCTTGAAATTTGAAATATCAACACTCTGTGGAAATATCAAAATGTTTTATGAGGAGGCATTTCAACAATGAAATCAGAAAAAAAATCATTAAATGTATGCCAAATAATAGAACTTAAGTATCAACCAATGCTATCCATTCAAAAGAATCTGAATAAAATCTTCATTTAGCGCGCGCGCGTGTATGTGTGTGTGTGTGTAATCAAATTGAAGCACGTACTGGATGACCTCACATATATGTTTCTAGATTGCTCAACTAAATTAGACAGAAATTGGTATTTAAAACCATTTCATGTGAATTTGTTTCAAAAACTATCTGATTCTGAGATAATTCTTCCTATCAAAAGTATGACCATCTTAAGAGTTTAATAACAGTATTTTAACAGAAGAAAAAAAATCATAAATTATACCTTCTCAAAGCAATGTGTGGAAAATTCTCCTTTCGATATGAATGGCAAAATTTATGGACATATAACTCTTCAAGAAAAACATACATGAAATAAAGGAAATGGATAAAATATTGATGTCTTTATCCCAAATTATTATTTGAACACAGGTAAATACAGTAGAGTACTGACATAAAATTGATTCCCTGAGAATAAAAGATTAAGTGTCATCACTTACATGTAGAATATTATTCGAAACGTAGGTAAAAACATTAGAGCATTGATCTGAAATTGTCAGTCGATTCTGTCAAAAAGTTGTACCGACTTAAGAGGGTCAATTTCAAGTCCCTCCAAAATATTCTACAAATACAATCGACTTATAGGCGGGGCGACTTATAAGCAGCAAGTACATACGGTACTCAAATTTTACACTCAGTTTACCTAAATAAAGCAGAGGTCAATATTGATATTTTTCTGGTGAATAACAAACCATATTCACCATCGAAAGAGTCCAAAATTGTTTTATCATATAGTCAGGATTCGAATGAATAAAACATTGAGGGCTGCATGAGGATTCCATTTTCATTTTGTCGTAGAAAAAAAATGTTCAGATTACAACTAATGACTTCCGCGTTTTCCTTACATCGAAATGTTTGGAAAATAATCCTGCGATAGACTTGCCTAACAATTTATCTGCTTAGATATCCAGCTGGCTCCGGCCGTTGCAACCATTGTTTTCAACGTTGTTTGAGTATTGATTGTGACGTCACAATGCCGCTGCATGCGCACTTACCTCCGGTG